AGCGACTAACCTATAATCCTCCTTCTCTTACTAAAACACTTCTTCAGTGATCAGTAACAATTACTATTTTTATTAAATGTGCCCTCCAAAACATCAATGTTTTCTAATGTATAAATCCAGCAGACTCTTTTTTGTCCCTTTTGTAACAGGTGACAAAGAAATACCTCTACCTTAAATTCTCTTTTGAGACTGATTTCCTCAGGAGGGCCGTCCTGGATCATCTATGACAATCCCATCCTGTCTGTCCATCACATCCGTGTTGTTGGTGTTGCTTATAGCTCACTGCTCCCTCCTCCCTTGCTGCCCCTTTTTTCTTCTCTGTCTACATAGACTCCCCAGATAATTGCTTCTATTTCCTTGGTTAACAGCTATTGTTTGCTCACGGATGATTTTCAAACTTTAATCTCTTGCTACTACTCTGCCCTGAATGCTGGAATGTCATTTACAATGACTTACTGCACTTTTCCAGTCGGATATCTTTTAAGTACCTCTATCCTAGCACACATTGCACCCTCTCTACCACCATACTCCTTCCATACTCTCAGGTGGGAGATATTATTAAAACATAATTTGCATGCAAAGAAGAATGGTGGTGACTAGTTTTAAAAGAAAGTAAACAAATATGAAAATTTTAATCCATGTGCTACTAAACTGTTCCGGGCAGGCAGAGTGTAGGGTAGATGCTTATTATCAAGTTCAGGATAGATGCTTATTATCAAGGCTAGTATCTCCAGGGATAGGCAATTCTTTCAGCTGCTCTATCTTACTGGAATTGGTCTTCAAGAATATCATCTTTTTATTCTAATTGTAAGTTCTGCAGGCAACTTTCTGATCCATAATTATATCCTCCTTGAACAAACAGATGTCTTACTGGGACTGAGATATAGTCATTGTATACTCATAAATTGGCAATCTAGTTGGTAAATGATTCTCTTGTCAGTTTGCTTGGTGTGAGTCAGTCCTCTGGAGTTGGTGAACTCTAGGTGAACTGCTAAGATCAAGTTTCTGAATCTGCAAAAGTGAAGATCAGACTCTGGACTGCAGCAACTGAAAATAAACCATGAACTACAGAGGTAACACCCAGATGAAGAGGTCAGAAGATCTTCTTGTAATATATTTTTAATTATACATACTTCGTCTTCTGTGTCTTTGTCCCATAGAGTGCATATCACAGTGCAAAGCATCAAAAAGTTGAATGCTTGCCTGTTATTCAGACCTCAGACATTCAATGGAGTATCCAAAAGAACAATATTAAATGCACTCAATCTCTCAATCCCACAAAGCCTCCATGGTGTGGAAGAAGACAACAGAAATTACAGAAAAACAATAAGAACAACAATAAAATAGCTAGTGGAGTGGCAAAATCCTTAGCAGCCTCAAGAATGGCATACTTTGTATGCTTTGCCTATTCTTCCATTACCCTACGAACTGCATCTAATAATGCCCATTTTATAGTTGAGGAACACACAACAAACAGGGTTTAAATAACTTGTTCAGGTATGCAAGTAGTAAGTGGCAGAGGTGGGCTCAAAGCTAAGGTTTTTTTTTTTTTACTGCAAAGCTGCTGTCAAACAGTGAAGTTTTGTTGTTTTGCTGTTAACTCTTCAGAGGAAACAGTATGAAGGTTAAGCTATCAAAGTTTACACAAAGCTGGGGTTTAATGATACTAACTGCAAACAGTCATCCTTAGAGGTAGGCTAAAAGGATGCTTTAATTTCTTTGGGACTTCAGAAAGGAATATGCAGAAGAAAATAACGTTAAAAGAAAAAAGAATAAGTGCAAGTAGCATAATTATCTTTTCATTTATTTTAAAATAGTTTTGAAAAACAACCTCTTATCCTCTATTCTTTTAATTTTATGCCACTTTTTACTGAGTAGCGGTGAATTTTCAAACTTTTCTGATGATGTCAACAATAGAAAATGAAATGTCCACTGCGACCCACGCCACAAATACAGGTAAATATATGTATATGCATCATGTTGTGTGAGTATGTGTGTGTCTGAAATTAAAACCACAATTACTTACTGAGTTATGGACTCTGATCTATTCTATTTCATTTTGTTAGCATGTCAATCATAACCCATCATATTGATTTCATGACACTTTCATGAGTCAAGACCTACAGTTTGAAAAGTCTTGGGATACGAGAGGAATGTTTTAGAAGTGAGAACGCCACATTCTTTACTAGCTCCACTTTGGAATGTGAATATTTTGTTCTCACCTATAAACCAAGGTGATGGATTTGGATCATTTCCAAGGTCTCTATCTTTTTTAGTCTGTCTTCTTCATGAATTTTCCAGCTTTGCACAGTTGTGATTTCTCCCTATCAGGTAATCAGGAAAGGCAGTGCATTTTTTTCCTCTTTGAAGTACCAACAGCCTCCACTTGCCTCCCATCCCCTGTCCCCCTACCCACTTCCATTCCCAAAGAGTTGCAGTTCTGTCAGCTGCTCAGCCCAGGGGCCTGACTCCATCCGCAGCTGCTGTTAGAACTGTCAGTCCCAGCAGCCATGCTGACTGGGGATGTCAGTCCCCAGGGTCCAGCCCAAGGCAATATAACCTTGCAGGATTAAGCAAGTAAGCACAGTGTTAACATTAACATGGATTTCTAGTGACATCTGTTTTGTCTGTAATGCCCCATCCTATCAGACTTCTAAGCCATAATAGATCTACTTTGAATTTAGGACAAGCTTTTTGTATATGACAATGGAAGATCTGACCATATTTTGGGGAAAAATTCTAAAATCTCCTAAAGTAAGAAAATAAACTTTTCAGATCATTAAAATCGGAGAGGGAATCAAAATGGATATTAACTTGTAGAGAGAAAAGGGTCTCTGACTTTAACCCCTAAGTGATTTCAAAAATCAAAAGGTGCTCAAAGCTTTAGGGTAAATTCTTAAGTCAGAAAGATAATTATCTCTATATAAATTATATGTATGTACTAAGACACATACACACACACATACATACCTATATGCCCACAGAAAACTCTACTCAAGCTGATGTTAATAAATGAAGATTCCCAAATGGCAAAGTCTGCATAGTACATCTAATTAAGGAGTTAACACTGACTGACACATATCTTAAAGACTGCAAGAAATTTGTATTTTCTACCCACAGGTTTCCCTTATAGAGCACCTATCTCAGCACACAACCAGAGAACCCAACACAGGACCATTGTGCACGTACCTTCTCAACTGAGGGAAAAAAAAGATAATGCTTTAAGCATGCTCCCATTTCATTGTACACTGTTTTCACTGCTGCACAGATACATTTTTTAACAAACCTGGGAGAAGCAGGTGGTGTGTATGCTAATAAATAGAATCCACGAAGAATTATTAGCATAATCACCCCCATAGATTAAAAATTAGGTGAGAAAAAATTACAGCCAACATTTTAAACACACAACACTAGCATGAGAAGCGCACATTAAGGTAGCATGAAGTATTTTACAATAAAAAATTAGCTTACATTCCTATTGACAATATCAAATATTCATAATTTTACCTATCTTGCACTAGGATTCTACCTTTAACATTGTAGTTTTTAGAGCCCAGTCTTCACCTTAAAAAACAGTTAAATTAGTTAAATGTGTTTTACAGTACTTCTCAGTCTGTATATTGTTTGTTAAAGTTTGGCAAAATTTGTGAGTATTAACACTGTAATAACATGGAAGCCATCAAACCATGTTTCATAGTTTTATTGAGTCTTTTTCAGTTTTAATTGTCCATGGTAAGTACAGTTCTAGTGACCACAATTATGAAGCTCTGCTGATACTAAAAATAGCAGATACAAAGTTGGCTGCCATGCCTTACCCACTAAGACACACACACACACACACACACACACACACGCACACACACACACAAGGTTTTGCATACTCTTGCATGCAAACAATACTATGCTATTATAGGAAATGTACTTTCCTTTTATTAAAAATACAATTACACACAATTAGTCTGGGTTTTGTTAAGCTACCACTGATTTAGATAAACCTGAGAAAGCTCAAAATATCAAGTAACACTGTTTCCACACCACTCATTCAATGGCACTATCACTCAAAAAGAAATCTAGTTCAATCATCTATATTAAAATCACAGATAATATAAAAATAAACATTTTTTGCTAAAGCACTAAAACATACTATAATTCAAATTCACAAATCTTGATATGTAACATATATTCACCTTCATATTAATTTGTGACGATGTGTATAATACAATGTACAACAGAATAAAAAAACTGTAACAGAATTCAGCAGTCAAATAATATACAATTATCACTATAAAATTTGGAATTTAAGATATCAACTGAACAAAAAAAAAAACCAGATTAAAATCAATAGCAATATTGAACTTGCTGGTAGTGTGTTACTTTAAAATTCCATCTCAAAACAATTAAGATTATGCTATCTCACCTTAAGAAGCAGCAACACAAAAAATTAAGCAGAACTAAGCAGCAGAGGCCGGGCACGGTGGCTCACGCCTGTAATCCCAGCGCTTTGGGAGGCCGAGGCGGGCGGATCACGAGGTCAGGAGATAGAGACCCTCTTGGCTAACACAGTGAAACCCCGTCTCTACTAAAAATACAAAAAAATTAGCCGGGCGTGGCGGCGGGCGCCTGTAGTCCCAGCTACTCGGGAGGCTGAGGCAGGAGAATGGCGTGAACCCGGGAGGCGGAGCTTGCAGTGAGCGGAGATCGCGCCACTGCACTCCAGCCTGGGCGAATGAGAGAGACTCCTCGCAAAAAAACAAAAAACAAAAAACAAAAAACAAAAACAAAAACCAAAACAAAAAAAAAAAACCAAGCAGCACTGATTATACCAGCTGCCTTTTGCTCTCCCCATCTCCATAAAGATTTTCCTTACACTGTAATGTTGTCTATATAATGCCCATCCCACTTGAGTGCTAAAACATGACAGATCAACTTTAAATGTAAGACAATACTTTTGCATTTGGAAAGGGAAGCTTTGACCGTATTTAGTGACAATACTCTAAACCTCCTGAAAAGACAACAAAAACTTTTATTTAATATATAAAATGTGGACAATACAGACCCCATTTGGCTAAGATATTTTATATTCACTATTGATCTTATGATAGTCTGATACCAAATTGTGTCTATACAGAAAAAAATAAAAAGGCAAACATGCAAAAGCACTTCTAGGGAAAATTAATCACTTGTATCATGAAACATTTTCATATTTTAGACTAAAAAATGTGAAGACTTAAATATTCCAAGATACTGCTATTTGAAAAGCACTGGAATATACAACTCTTATTTATGTATGCATCATATATTTTGTAAAATACACCAGTTTGACACATTAATATTATACATTGCAATAAATATAATTTACATTAGTATATTGGATCTTTCATGAAAGTTTTTCAATCTGTACAACTGAAGGACTGTGAGCTTCTTCAATAAATACTATTACAATAGCTACAACTTGACCAGCAAAGTTTAAGCTTCAATAGATACTAACTAGTATTACATCTTTAAACATTGTCACTAGCCAAATTCCAGCTGCTATAAGCACTGGCATGTATAATATCCAAAGACAGTTTAGTGTCTTGTCTGAGAAGATTGAGACACTTTACAGGTGACAGGTCCACATCATAATCTGTGAAATTTACAAGATTTTTTTTAGCCAAGGAGTGGAATGAAGTCCTGGAAAATACAGTAGCAGATTTCACAGGCTCCTGGCTGTTCAGTTTTCATGCTTTACCATATCCCCCAAAGCCCCAACAATGGATGTCATCCAACTTTTTAATCTATGTGTGGTCTTGGAAGGGTCAACAGTCACACAGCTGGCTGAGTGGCAACATCATGGTTTTAACTCTGAATTCTGACTTGCATGCTATATTTCTTCTTTTTGTCATTTCAATGTAAACACAGATTGATGTTCAAAGAGTCAAAGATGCTAATTTGTAAGCAATAAAACATCTTGAATTTGCCATTAAAATATTTTTTTGTGTGAAATTTTGCTAGGTAGTAAGTTCTATAATGTTAGCAGTTCTTTTTTCCAAATGCCAACACATTTCTGCCCTTACTATTAACATACTTCAATCGTCATATGACCTGATCAGTTTTTCAGCCAACAGAGATCACTACCTCATCCTGACCCTCTGTATGTTTTCACCATTTGTACATCTTCCCAGAGGCTTCTTTTGGCCTGGAAGGAGTTAGCAAGATCATTCTTGTACTATGTGGCATGCATTCACATGTCATCAATGTCCATATGTGATGTATGAAGCTAAAGAAGAAACACTTTGGAAAAAAACATGCCAAGTAGTAAACAAGCATTTCTAGACACTGTTCACCTCCTCAGTGGATCCACACTCACAGAATTCTCTGGACGCTGAAACAATGTACTTAACACATACTCTAAATTAAGCTGAGCATCCTGAGACCTAAAAGAAAGAAAACTAAAGTAAATGGTGAAGAAATATTATACAAATGTGTATCATTAGGCTACAAGTTCAAGTCTGGTACAAGTCCTGTAATTTCCATCTTGGTCAGTTTAATGATCTTGATCTTAACAAGGTCAATACAGTAATGACATATTTTAGATTTTGTCTTGTAGGACTCTAAAATGGATGTTATTTGAGCCTGATGAAGTGAGAATTTTGCTAACCCTCTCTTTCCTCAAAACGAGGAGGTGTAGTAGGTGTCTTCTTTATTTGGTTTCTATAATCCTATGCATTAAAACGGAACATGTAAAAAGAATCACTGCTGAGGAAGGCCAAATACAGCTTTTCTTCATTGATCTTAGTGGCCAGAGATTGGGTAAAGTGAAGCTACTTTGAAGGTCTCACAAATCCTCAATCTACATAGGCATTGCAAGAACTGAAATCAAGATCTGAATTTCCTGTCATTATGTTCCACAGAGCACTAAGGTTCTTTCTTGCCTTAACATACAGCCCCATGTTGCTCTACTTGTAAAGTGCTTTCCAACAAGTTATTCCACCATCAGTTGCAAACTCTGATGTTGACTTTATGGGGGCTAGCTTTCAAAACTAAAAATTCCTTTGGCACTGGATTTATTTGTTCGGGATTTTCAATTGCATTATCTCACCTTATTATTCTCATGTAGAAGATGACCATTTCAAGGGCTAGATGTGCAGCAATTCAATATTCATTAAAAATTATTAACACTGTTGAAGCATTTTACAAATTTTTCATTAACACCTGGCAGAGAACAAATATAATGGATAACACTGACCAATAGTCTTCTCTCTATTACTAGTCTGATTAGTACTTTACTTTTCAGTGCTATGGTATCTAGGTACTTTAAGTCTCTATATTTCCCTCTCCATATACATGTTTTTTCTTTAAATATTGAGATGTAAGGTTTATCCAAAGATTATAGCTTCCCATTCTATCAATGCAACCTATACAAATTCCATTTCTTCTTTTCATATCGCATTTTGTGTTTTCAAACACTTAGAGGAAGCAAAAAGAGCCTTCTCCACCATGATTTTAATTTAAACTAAAGCCCTCATTCTAAAATGTCTTCTGCCCACCTCAGTTGCTTCATACATTTGAGAGTATACTTGGAGGCTATGCATTGTGGATGACTGTCAACCTCTCCTTTTCTGAAATACTGTCCTCCTGTCCAACATCCTTCAACTTACTGTTATTTGACTTTCCTCAAACTTTGGTCTGTAATTTGTTTGTGATTCTTAAAATTGTTTTTACAGATGTGAGTGAACACTTGTCCTGGAACACAAACAAAGTCTTCAGGCATTGCACAGCAGTGGGGCAAGTAAATGCTCTTTATCACAAGATATCTAAGAGAGCTCACAGTGTTTAGAAGGAAAATACATGCATTTTAATTATTTTGAATGCATTTCACCAGTACGATAATATATGCAGGCTTTCCCCATCAAACATTTAGCACCCAATATATAATGAGACCTTTTCCAGAAATAACTGGAAAACAATCACTTTTCAGGCTCTTAAATTCATTAACTTTACTTGTCTATTCAATTCCCTAAAGAAACTCAGTCAACTATCATCTATGCTTATAAGACACTGAAAAAGACACCCCGCTCAGAGATCCATTGATGTGATGCTGGATGAACTAATGAGTTTAGTGTTTTGTTATACCATGCTAAATATTTCTGAGAATGTAGATTTTCGTTTTATTCCTATTGTGGATTTTAAAAATCAATAAAGGCTACATAAACCACAAACTCAAGTTGAAGGGGGCTAGTTTTCTTAGAGAAATTACTAATATCAAAAATAGCCCCAGTACTCAGGTGCACACACACTTTAAACAGAAAAGCTTGTAAATTTTAAAGGCCAAAGAGAAAGTAAATGTTTAACTAGGTAGTGCTGTTTTATTACACATACTTCTAGTCAGAAAGAAGACAGACTTTGAAAGCAAACCAAGCAAGCTAAGTGTGGATGTGGGCATTTCTACTTCTATTATTTTTTAAACTATTTTCTTGGTTTGATTTTTTCTAAACTGACTAGAAAGTTAAAGAGGGGAAAAGCACTTGATTCTGTTAAGCATCCTACCATATTACAACAGACAGGTGTTTGGAGATTCTTGTGCCTTCACAAGCTTGTATCTCCATTCTGCTTGAACTCAGGTAAAATATTGAGGGTCATGTCTTCACTTTTGGATTGCAAATTTGCCTCACTTCTTCTAGAAGCTTTCCTTGTGGCTCGGGAGAGTCTCCTTCTGAAAGTATCTCCCGCCAAGAAATAGAGAATGGGGTCCACACAACTGTTGAGACTTGCTAGACCTCTTGTCACCTGATATGTGGCATAAACCCTGTCATTGAAAGCACACATTGCTGGGGTCTGAAAGTCAAGCCGGGCTCTCAAGTTCATCGTTTTCATCACATGGAAAGGGATGTAAGACACAGCAAAAACAGTCAGTACAATGATCACCAGGTAAATCGATTTTCTCCTCAGAGGAGAGTTGTCCAGATCTTTGTAAATCAAAGCTCTCACAATTAATCCGTAACAGCCCAGAATCAGCACCAACGGGACACAGAACATGGCCACGGTCGTGCACATGCTGTAGATGAAATAACTTCGCAGGTACTCGTCTGAGGTGGTGTCATAACAGGTGGTGGTTTTGTTTTTGCGGACCCCGGTACCTGAGTAGAATAGGATGGGGGAGATCGCCACCACCACAATGAGCCACACCAGCACGCTGATATAGACCGCGTTCTTCTTTTTGAGCCGGCCCAGGGACTTGAGGGGGTACACCACACCGCTGTACCGGTGGGCACTGATGCATGTCAGAAACAAGATGCTGCCATAGAGGTTCACATGAAAGATGAACCTCTGCAGTTTACACATGGCATCCCCGAAGATCCAGTCTGTTTTATTGAAGTAGTAGAAGATCAGGGCTGGCAGAGTCAGCACGTACAAGAAGTCGGCCAGAGCCAAGTTGAACATGTACACGGAGATGCCGCTCCAGGGCTTCATGTGGAAGACGAACATCCAGATGGCCACGCTGTTGCCCAGGAAGCCGATGATGAACACCAAAATGTAGACAGCCGGCAGGTAGTAAAACTGGAAGCCCGTCTTGGTCAAGGCGCATTTGAACGACGCAGAGACGGCGGCAGTGGAGGCGACCGTGCTGTTCCCCCAGGACGAACCCGGACCGGCCAGGAAGGCAGCGTCCGTCCCGTTGGGGACAGCCGGCCACAGCACCTCGGTCATTCTCTCCTCCTGGACTTAGGCGGCGGCTCCGAGGGGCAGCAGGCGGCGAGAGGGCAGCGGCGGCCAGGGGCGCAGCAAGCATCGGAAAAGCCAGCGAGCGGAAGGGAGCGGGCGAGCTGGATCCCCGCGGGAGGGGGCGCGCAGGGGCTCGCCCACGCCTGCTCTGGCCCCGCGTTCGCCGCGGGCCATGAAATCCGCCCCGGGCCGCCACCGAACTGGGCTATCGGGCAGGCCAGCAACTTCTCCGACCGCTGGCAACGCCGAGCTTACACAACAGGGCGCGCAGGGCACCACCGCGGATAACTTTCCGACTGCGCTTTCCCGAGGGGCCGCGGGTCCGCGCTGCAGAGCGCGCCAGAGGCACAGCGAGGTCAAGCGAAACTCGCTCTGCGGGGATCTCGCATGGGGAGGGTGCTCCCCAGCCTCCTTGGCTCAAAGATCAACTTCATTGGGGCATCTTCCTCCTCCCTACCTTAGAAAAGTGCAGCTCAGCTTCGGGGCGTCTTATCGCTTCCTCCTCCTACCCTGAGCTCAGCTCCTGGCGGCCATCGGAGCGCGCGTGGCCGCAGACTCGTGCGCTGCTGAAGCGCGTCCCGTTCAGCGTCCGCGCAGTTCAGGGGCCCTTCCCCAGGCCCCGCTCTGTCCAGAGTACCGCGGTCAGGCGGGAGAGCTGAGCTCCCGTGAGGGTGGGCGGAGTTTGGGCACCCGGGCGAGTCCGCACTCCGCGGGGAGGCGAGGGGCGTGCCTCCGCCGAGCTCGCCCAGCAGCCAGCCCGCGTCCTCTAGGGTGCAGTGGGAAGCAGGAGGCGTCTACTGGGGAGCAGGTCTCCGCCGAGGCCGAGTGTGTTCAGCCTCTGCCAACACGCTGCTACCGGAGTCGGCGGCGAGGGCGAGGGGTGCGCTCAAAGGTGGCTGCTGGCAGGCGATTGGCCCGCGAGCGCTTCTTCTCTCTTCCGCCAGCTATCTCGGCAAAGTGAAGTTGCTGACACACAGGAAACCCTTCCGACCGCTCAGAGCCTTCTGCCTACAACCCCAGAGCCGACCAGTCCGTGGCAGAAGCCTCTAGGGCCCCCGAGAACCACGCCAGGTGTTTTCAAGCTCCAAGCAGCCAGGAGTCCCTAGCTGGGAACGCCCTGGCATTGCAGAGCACCTAGCTTTGCTGGGACCGGATTTCTGGCACATGCAGGAACCTGCTATTCCAAGAGGGCGCGAGCCTCCAAAGGAATGAGGGTTGGGAGAGGGGTGGAGAAGTCTGTTTCGCCCTTCTTATCGTTTTTATTTTTCTATTACTGTTTTTTTCTTAATTACCCAAATGCTATTAAACCCACGTTATTAGTAACATCAACGTGAGAATTTCCAAAATAGCCTTGTAAAAATATTACTAGTCTATATTGCACATTGCTTTAGCACAAATTTGTCGTCATAGATACTTAACACCTATCAGACAAGACAAGCTCCCCAAATCCTCCTGTTCAGTACATTTAAAGATCAGAAGCTACAATGAAACAGAAATTCAAAATTTATCGCTTTGAAAGTAATTTGAATACCAAATGAAATACATTTATATTGATAGACGTAAAAGATGGTTATAATTCCAAAGTGACTAAGGTATGGTTTTGGCGGGGGGTGGGGGGAAGGAGGGTATTTGCAATTCTATTTCTTTAAGTTAAAATGATTAGTTACAGTTACCTCTAGTATCTTAAAGATACAGACTTGGAACTTCCTTAATTACTACATTTACTGACAAACTCATTTTCTTGCCTTGAATGTAAATTTTAAGCAATGCACTTCAAAAATATATTTGAGTAAGTTTAATAGGAAACTAAATGAAATATTAGCTGTTCAGGAATATATATAAATGCATCAACACAGGAATGTAATCTAGCACTTCTTGACAAGTTACTAATCAACAATGTATTTTTACGTGACACATTAACAAAAGCTTTTCTCTTAGAGGAAAAAACATCTGAAAAGAAAATATCTGTAAAATATATACCATCAAGATTTCTTTCTGGTCCCAGATGCTACACGATAGTGTTCCCTTAAAAAATCAAGGAAAACCACGAGCTCCTGGCTTTGATACCACAAAGGAAAATACCCCCCACAAGATCCAGATGGTGCTTTAGAGGAACACATATAGGAAGGAGCATATCTTAACACATGGTATGAATACACTGGGTTTTGAATTGCAGTCAATTTAACAGTATAAAAATTAATAATAAAACTAGAGTAAATAATTCAAGTAAAGAGTGTGAATGAGATTGTCTTGAAAAGTCTTATTTTTGTGTGTTTCCTTCCAGTCTCCTGATTATATGAGTCTATAATTCTGAGCCTTAACATGAAACATTTGTGTATTGTTTGATTAGTATGGTACTAGCTGGGATGATAGTCTATTAAGAGAGAAAAGGAAGCAAAGAAAACCATTAAGAGTTCCAGGGGTACTCAATAGGTCTTAAGTCCTCACTCCCTTGCATTTTTTATTTGCAACCTAGGCAATATGTAACTTCACTCAGAAGTCTGTTGCAAATGCATTAACTCATAATGTGAGTGTTTTGAAATGTACACTTAGTCCAGATACCATTAAGTACTTTCAGAAAACTGATGTCTTACTAGGAATTGGAGGATAGTTGTTTTAGGTGCACCACAGACTTTTCAAAAAATTATGTGAAGAAATAAACTTCGTAAGCATTGCTTTTGCATTCAGGATATTTAACCACACACTTATGTTTCAGTTATGCTTTAAATCAAAATTTTGCCTTGTGGGAATAAGTTACATATATTCAGTAATTACTATAACTTTCTATTTGTAAAACATTCAGCTATTATTAATGAAGAAAAAAATCTAAGACTCTGTCATTATTCACATTTGAACACCAATTATAGATGGCTTAAAGATATGATTAAAAAATTCTTACATATTTGAGTGACATGCCTCAAACATTCCATGTTAATTTTTATATTAGGTTGGTGTAAAGTTATTGCGGTTTTTGCCATTCCTTTTAATGGCAGTCTTGGACTCATAAACAAAAAGACTGCCCTTCTTATGCCCTTATATTTGAGAAACAGTGTAAACGCCTGACTTCAAGAGATTTACAATTTAGTTGAAAATGCAGATAACATATATAGTTAGCCATAACAGTAAATATAACAATACCAATAAAAATAGGCCTTTCCTGTATACTCAAGCACTGTGTACATGTAAAAAGGATTATCTCTTTTCACCCTTAAAATATGGATGATGACATCTGGCCAGTGTGTTCCCATTTTGTAAGTGATGAAACTAAGGTACAGGGAGGTTAAGTAATTCACCTATAGTCACACAGTAGATACTGGGATTTAAATGTAGGCTATCTGTCACTGAAGTCTATGCATTCAGCTACTATCCGATGATGAAAGAAAGCAAATACGGGGCACTGATAGAAACGTTAACTTTTAGTGGCCAGCACAGATTGAGTTTAGAAAGGGTTACTCCCAGAAGCTTTCCCTCAGGAGAGAAAATTCTAAGCCAGATATTGAAGTTATTGATAGTCAAAGATATTTCAGAAACTTCTCAAATATTCCACTTCTCTACATAGGCTTTTTAAAAATAACCAACAATTTACGTATAATCTGAGAGAGAAAATCATTGGGACATCAGGTCTGTTCAGTCTTAGACTCATAAACAAAGAGGTTGCCCTTATTATGTTTACAAAGATTTTTATCACCATATTTAGAAAATCTCGATTTTCTTTTTCTTTAAGCCACAGAAAATTCAACAATCATTAAGAATGGGAAAATCATTGGAAAAATTCCAATTGAGGGCCACAGGCAGATAAAGGAAAAAGAAACCTCATAAACATAAAATATGAAATCTCCCATCTTAGTAGAGACCAAAAAACCATCAGATTTGACTAAATAAATACCATGCCACAAATGCTAAACCTAATTCTGGTAGCAATATGGAGGAAGTGAGGAGCTGATGGGCAAAACAGTTGTTAGGATTTACGGAAGAGAGACAATGAGACCTTGATTTATGAGATAAAGGTTCACTTAGGATATCCTTATAAATTGAACTTCTGAGATGCACTGTAGGAAAGGGAGGAGACCCTTTCCTTCCCCAAGAAGAAAATAAGGGAAAGAAATAGGAGAAGTGTAAGGAATTCCCAGCTGATGTCCTCCAATGAAGTAGGAGAAGGAGAAGGCTAAGATGGAGCGGAATTGGAAATAGAATATACAGAGGAAAAATTAGGATTGTCCTGTGCCAAGGAGGGCCCAGCTGCTCCTATAAATTATATACTTGTCATGGATCCAATCAGTAGGCTTCCTGAAATTTATTTCATTAAGAATCACAGCAGGGGTATAGGACACAGAATATACCCAGCAGGATTGATCTGAAGTTGAGTGAGGAAAAAGGGAGAAGAGAGCAAAAGACAGGAGGTCAGTGGGGAGAGAGGAGAGGTAATAATAATAATAATAAAAAGCAGACAGTGAAATGAAGAAGAAGAGGAAGTGGGAGAGGGAGGAGGAAGTGGGAAGTACAGAAGGGGAAATAGTGCCTGAACAGTATTTGGGGGACAGAGGAAGAGAAAGCAAGATACTTGCACAGGCGTAGGAAGAGGGTTTTGGAAATATCACTAAGCATAGCTTTTCTATTATTTAGGTTTAAATCTGGGTGTGTTGGGAGGTATCTGCAAGGTGGTGAGATGACGCAAGCTATATAGTCATGTGGCCAATGTCCCTGTTGAATCACATGTCATTGAGCTAATGTGCCTTTTCACTTACAAGTACCTGTCAGATCCCAGGCCACCTAAACCTTCTTCCATCCTTAGAAAGTTTCTTGCTTCCAAAGTTAAGAATACGTATTCAAGGGAACTCCTTTCTTATATTTCCTTTTAAAATATTTACTTCTCTTATCTACATGAAGCCGTAGTCCCTAGTCCTGGGCACTTTATAATACTTTCAAAAAGCATTTTTGTTAAAATACAAAGTAAAAAACTTTAGTCCATCCTGGCTTGTAGAACTTTCTCTAATCATCCTTGTCTGGTAAATATTTCCTTTGCTGTCTTTGTCTTTGACATCTCTGTTTTATCAAAGGCGTGTCTTAGAACATTTACTGATAACAGACTAGAAATCCTGTATTACATGCCAACTCTTCTACAATTTCCTTATATACTTAGCTTTTCAAGAAAACAGAGAAATAAATATTTATAAAGCCTGGAGGTACCCAAGTATCTTTAGAGCCAGTTACTTAAATCTGAGGTCTTATACCATAATTATGAAACCATACAGGGTTCCTATGATACCACTAAGAATAAAAATATGACA